CTCCTTCCTTTATTTTTCTCCTTAAATTATATCACCATCTACTGTAGGAAAAACAGATTGATAGTTTCTCCCATTGACTTGCTGGGAGATAACGGTCATGTGAGTAGGTATTTTTGTCGGCTTTTGCACTGAAGTATTTCAACTGTGGAGCAGAGTTGAGCCCCTTTCCAGAATACATCTTAATTCCTGTCTTCCTCTCCTTTCTCTCCTCTTCCCAGTGGCTCTTGGCCAAAGGGGGTCTGCCTCACTAAGGTAAGTACCTATCCTGGGAGAGTTCCCATTCAGTCTGGTGGTTGAGAGACGAAAGGCAGTATCACTAGGGCCAATTCTGAAGAGCAGTTGAACTCAGGAATTGACCCAGAGACAGGCTGAGGTCATTTTTGCAGCTGTGTTATAATGCAACTCTAATCTATTTCTTTCATTTTCTCTCCCAAAATTTCTTCAGAACACCTCCCAATAAGCTTTCTGCAAGCAAATGTCCACTCATATTTATTATCTAGGAAAACTCGTCTAAACTTCAGTATCTGCAAAAAGCATCATGTTCAGTAGATTTTTCAGTAAATGCCTTTTGAAAATTGAATGAATAAATACAATAGAATAATGGTTATAAAGTTGTGTGCCAAAATTTATTCTTAATTTATATTCTTCCTTTTATTTCTTGTCACATAAACAATTTATTAACAAATTTTCCCATCTCTAAAAGAGATTATAGTAGAACTTTCCCAGAAAATGTTTGGAGGAATTAAATGTAATAAAGCATATGAATTCCAGCAATTTAAATTCTTAATGGTTGCTATAACAAAATTATTATTTATATTTAAGCACTCATAACTCAAGAGTCCTTTCTTGTAGTTTGGTTCAAATGTATTCACTAGGTGAAAATAAATAGAAACACTTTTCTTCTTTGTCCCTAATAAAATATGCATGAGAGCAACAATCAAAACTATGAAAATGGTCATTACAGAAACAAGTTAAACTTATTAAATGAAACTATAGTCACAAACTTCTAGATTAGAGGATACTAAGAATGTAACACACTAATGAGCATTATAATCCTGGTTAAGAGATTACAGGGGCCACTAGCCCAGCTCCTTTTGTGCAGGCCACACTTAAACAGCTCAGAGAAATCTGTTTTCCAAATGATTCTAATAGACGTATGTACAGGAGTGCACCAAGATATGTCATGGAAGTTTTCTTGGCTGTTCTGTCACTTGTTAGAACCAAGAGATCCCCTATTAAGCAAATTATAATCTCTTTCTTCAATTTTGATATATTTCAGCCAGTTTTGGCCTGTGCACTAACATAGAACCACTGATCTCTGTCCTTTGAGACTTAATTTAAGTACTTTAATTAATCAAAGTGTGTTTTACTGAGCCTTTTGCCAAGTAGTGTACTGGGCTTGATGACAAGGTTTTATTCACATGGTTCCCCTTAATGTTCTCTGACCTCTTTGGAATCCCAGAGTGTTTTTCATCTTTTCTAGCAGTCCTATTTTCATTTTTGTTGATCTTCTTTGAATTAATTCCAATTTCTCTACAACTTTCATAAATACTTCGGGAAAGGGTTGTTATTGCCAAATATGGATGAGAGATTATTGCTTATGATAAGCTAGTCAAACTGCTATTAATATATACCAGACTAACATTGCTTTTTAAAATAATCACTTTCTGCTGCTGAATCGTTCAATTTGTACTATATGATGAGTTTGAGGCATTTCCCCTCTCAGAACTTGAGCACACAATAATTTTCCTTTCTTCGATCAGTTACATATGGGCAGTGTTCTTCATCAAAAACTTTCATGTAAATTTATTAAATTCAGTTCTTTTTGTAAAAAATTGATTTTTAACATATTTGAGTAGAATACTCATATTTTTTAAAAGTCTCTTTTTAAACCCTTTCCTACCTCAGTTTATTTCAACCTAGTATTTAGCATCTATTTGGGGCCACCCATTGTGCTAGGAATTAAGGCTAATGAATGGTAACTAAGTGCTTTATTAATATAGAGATGATAGAAAATGTGTTCAATTCCAAGTGCTAACACAGAGGAAGGAAGAGAGTGTTTCCTCGCTTTGGTTGCAGGCAGCCTTCTTAACTAATATGATGCTGAATTAAGCTGAATGAGTTAAGTGAGATTAAAACAATGAGCAAAACGGATGTTACTGAGTTCAAGGCCAAAGGAACTATGCAACTAAAAGTATAGAAACATTTAACAGTAGATATGTTTTGGGACAGTACATATTTTGTTAATACCAGTATATAAAATACAAATAGAAAAGTGGTGAGAAACTTCATAAACAATATTTTATAATAAAATATTATGTAATCTTTGGCTGATTGGGGATTAATTGCTCTTAGCACTGAAGACCATTATGGGTTCCATATCTGGGAATTTCTCTACATGCTAAAATTTATTTATGACCTCCTAAATCAGCACTCCCAGAATTTTTGTGATCATTCACTGACATGCACACAACAATGACAATTTTGATCCCCTAACCTGGGCATTCTCAAGAGAGGCCAGGTAAGGTGATGCTTTGCCTTTTTATTTACTGCTATATTTTATTATTTTTATTTCATTAGTTGATTATTTTGATATGTAAGTGGTTCCAGGACATAGTTTTTAAAATACTATGGAATAAACAATTTCTGAATAAAAGAAGGCAGGGATGTGTTTTCTAGAAGAAAAGAGCTAGATAAGGTTAGATAAGCTGCCCTGAGACAAGGGTTACCAGGCAAGGGATGTGACTCCAGGGTCAATGAATCTACAAATTAAGGTGTCTTTGAAGTGAAACACACAAAACAGAAAGTCATATATTGATTGATTGACATCATCCTGTGACCACAGTTTTGCAGAAACCTAAATGTTTTAGCACTTGATAATTCAGTATTTTCAATAACTTTATTGACCATAGCTTACCATGAATAATGAGAATCAACTGCGTATTGCTCAAAATACCAGCTGGTAAAGAAGAAAGCAATTAAAAAGGCAAAACTAAGAAGAGCTATAACTTCAAACAAAAGCGTGACAGTGCCTGAACTTCTAAATTATATCAATATGAGGAATAGCAAAGACATCTATTCCAAAATTTGAAAGCATAGTTACCATTGCTACACTGCACTGAAATTTGACCATTCCAGCCAATGAAATTCTGGAATGAAAGTTACTATTTGCATTGAATATGCTTATACTACATACATGTCTACCAAATTTGACATACTTACATTTGTAAATGATCGAGGAATCTTTACAGATAGCCAATATAAAGATGGTGGTGGTGAGGGAAGGCAGAAAGATACATAGCTACACTTAGGCTGGAAAAGTACATACTTTGAGGGAATACCTCACCCACGTACATAAACCTGATGTTCGCTGAACTTTCTGCATGCATGACTTGGTCCTAGTATCAGCGAAGGACAATGCAGCCTCTGTCCACGAGAAGCTGATAGTCCAGGGAGTTACTGAGATTTAAGACAATAATTTACCATCATGAAAAATTCATGTGGAAGATACTAATAGAAGGGATTAAAACACAGTGGCATTTTAGGTGATTGAGACCATATTTGGTAATTGGGAGAGTACCACAACCTCCCAGAGAGACTCTGTTCCAACTGACCTTGGACAGACAATGCAAGGGCCAGGGATGTAGGTCAGCAGTGCTGCACCTGCCTGGCAAACACAAGAACCTGAGTTTGATCCCAGGTACCCCCCCTAAAAAAGAAGAAATAGAAGGACCATGCAAAAGTCACAAAAACATGATATACATAAAGAATGTTCAGTTTTGCTGCAGAGTAGACTTTGTGAAGACAAGCAGCAGGAAATGTGACTATAAAAATAGGTCGGACACTGCAATGTATCTTAAATGTAATTGGCAGTATTAGGGCAAGGGAATAATGTGAGAAGCACCCAACTTTTAGGAAATTGTGTCTTGCAACAGCACACAGCAAAAGATACATAGAAAAGTTAAAGTTCTGGGTATAGTCTCTGAGAGATTTTTGAGGCCTACGAAAGATGAGGCTGGTGAAAATGGAAATAGGACAGACATGAAACTGTGCACAGGTTACATACACAGAGAGCTAAGCATGCCAGTCTGAGTTATTAAAGGGATGCGCGTGTCAGTCTTGGTCAGGAAATTCTGGAAAAGCAACTGACTGCTTTCCATTTTACACAATCTGAGTTTAAAGGGACAATAGACACTTGAGTAGAAATATAAAATAAGTAGTCAGTAAACTGGGAAGGTTTCATGAGAGCGACTGGAATGGGGTTCCTGGGAAGACATCTGTGCCCCAAATAATATCAAATGCTGCAAAGTGAGAGCAGTCAAGCTCTGTGTTGTCGCCGTGGTTTGGATTTTAATGTTCTCCAAAGGAGCATGTGTTAAAGGAAGGTTTGATAAAGTGGGGCTGGGTTGGAGGGAGTCAGGTTACTGGGGGTGTCTCTGGAGGACATTCTGGGACCATAGCTCCTTCCTCTCTTTCTCTTTGCTGCATGGCCAGCATGAGGCGAGCAACTTTGCCTGCCATGGCGTTCTGCCGTGACACAGGCCCCAAATCAATGGAGCCGAAGGACCATGGACTGAAGCCTCCGAAACCGTTCTCTACAATACTCCTCCTCTCTCAAGTTGATGCAGCTCAGTGTTTTGTCACAGCGATTCAACCTCACACATTTACCAATATAGATATGGGGATGTAGAGTAAATATCATGTGTGTGTCACTGTAAGTGTGCTTAGATGCACTGTTTCATTGAACTCTGGGTGATGCTGTGTGTTGTTAGCCATAGAATTTAACAGGGAGAAACAAATATTTCATCCAGAAGTCAGGAAGGAGATAAATAAAAAATACACCCCCCAAAAAAAATGAATGGGAAGGATGGAAATAAGATTTGAGAGTGGTGGAAATAACTCTTAAATGTCAAGGAGTCTTTCCCTGTGTTTTGTCTTAATTCAAGTGCTTCTGAATACTTACTTTGATCACTTATATAAGACTTTAATCAGCTCCCTACCTTCAAGGACCTTCCAAAGTTCCGTTTGGTCACCAGTCTGATCCTTTAAACCTTCAGATGTGGCCTTTCGTACCTCTGCTTAAACCTCTAGTAGCTCCTCCTGTCTTATCACACTTATCACACTGAAGTCTTCTCTTTTCTCATTATTTCCATTCTGGGCCCCAAGTTCACTCTGTAATATTTAGCATTTCTCGTGTTAGCAATTCAAACCTAAAGAATATTTTCTGATGTTATTATTGCCTACCTCTCCCCGCAAATCCTGACAAAATTTTAAGTAGCCTACAAGTTCCCAATAAAATGAAGTTCTCTGAGATTCTTTTCTGATCTCCATCTCCAAATTCAGTCTTATGTTCCCCAAATAGCAAGCTGAGGATCATGAAGGATTAATAATCTCAGTTGAATCTCTGTGTTCATAAGAGCCTATCAGGACTGACTCTTTTGAGGTTGGTGGACACAATTTTGCAAACATAAGTATAATAACTTATAGTACAAGCATTGGAACATTCATTAATTTAAAGCCATATCTATGTTGAAATCACAGAGATTTGGTTGAACTTTACCCTAGTATCTGAAATCTACAATAGTGCAACTACTATTTTTGTACTTGCTATACCTACGGTATTGACTTGTTCACTCACTTCAGTAAATCTTTACTGCAAACCAAGATCTGCTTTAATTAGTACCTATTTATTGTGAAAGAGATCGTATAGTCTTTCAGACTCTGTCCATTACATATGAACAATCAGATTATGAATGCTATCCACAAACCCCTGGGTTTGCAATGGGCTTATGTTCTGATGAGCCTATCATGAACTTGAAATACCTGAAGTTGAATATATTCTTAGTATATATAACTTGCTAAATATCATAGCTTAGGAACGTAATATGTGAAGAGTAACAGTTGTTTACTCTGGAGATCACTTGGATACCTAGGAACTGTTGCTCTCTGCCACTGCCCAAAATTTTAAGAGTATCTTACTACATATTGCCTATTTGAGGAAAAGATCAAAATTTAATATGAATGTACAAGCTCTACTAAATGTATATCAATTTCTCACTGTCATTGATTCAGGAAATCCTAAATCAAATCATGATAAATTGAAGACCATCTGTATTTGAATTTAAACAACTAAATGATATGTTTTTATTTAATCATAGTAGTATTTAGTTTGGAGGGATAGGGCTTGACTCCTTATGCAGTTTAAGAGAGTAAATTGCAATGATTATCCATTGGGTGTGATCTTGAAGCCAGGTGACTAACTGTCCATCAGTTGAATACCTAGTTTGTTAAAAATGATGCTATGTTAGTGTATGAGCTGGAGAAGTGAGCACAAAATCATGCTAGATTAATGAAGATACAACAGAGATACATTTTCATCCTGTACCCTCTTCTCATATTAGTCAGAATGATGCTCCAGGCTCTATTGCAATGCTATAGTTTTATGCTTTCAAAAAAATTGTAATTCAAATTCGTGTAAAAATAGTTAAATTGCTGAAAACAATTTGCACATTGCACATTGCAGGAATTTTTCCAAGATATCTTCCATTGTCATTGTTGTTGTTATGGAACTGGGAAAAAAAATCAAATAAATTTGATGGCTTGGGGAAACAAACTTTCTAGAAAACAAGTTGATTCAAATATTGAAGAACACTGAAGAAATTTCTGAAAACTTTATTTCTGCATTAGAGAAAGATTACAACTTCAGACAGTAGGGATTCTACTTCATCTTTTGTTCCTGCCAATATGCAAATGTTTTCCCACCCCATCCCTAAAAGACTCACCTTTCCCCTCCCACTCCCCCCCCTTTCCTTGCTCAGTACAGAAGCATTTTTAGTCAACCCTGGGATAACTGCTGCTTTTGTGTCTGCATGAACTCTTTTGCCTTCTCCATTATGAACATAAGGGGCTCCAGTTTTGCCACGTTACTAGCCCATTCTGCATGCTTTGTTTCATTTTTTTCCTATTTTCTCTACTCCATTATAGATAGGGGAAAAAGCCTCACGTGTCCTAAAACTTTATTTGTAAAATCTATTTTGAGGATAGATTAATGAAGATAAATTAATGTCCTATTGATTCTCTCCTGGCAAATAGCAGTTTCTAATAGGTTAACATTTTTGTACCAATTTTCAGTACATAAAAGTACCATTTTGAATATATAAGAATAAAATGCAAATATTACATATATTTAAAGTTATGTTGTATATTAACTATATGCATAGTTACCAATCAGATGAATTCCGTTGTAGTCAATCACTATTGACACTATTACATCTTTCTCTTCAGATGCTTCATAGCACTAATCTTATACATTTTAGAACCCAATTTCATTAAGACTGCTTAACCCCCATAGTGGTGCATTATACCGGAAATCACCATTGCAATGTGTTGTGTAATGGTTATCATGTAATTTCAAATACAGACCAGTTTCAACTTAGTATCTCTACTTAGCTACTCTCTTACCTAAAATGTAAAAATGTACTAAAACATGGAGGATCAACAAACAACAAAGCTTTCTGAGTTCACCCCCCCCGACTTTCTTCTAAACTTCTGACTCAGTGACTTTAGTTCAGTACATTGAATGCTGTCACTTTCCTGATCCTTCTTCCCAAGCTATGTCAATCTCAAACCAGGTTTCTTCTTACCACTCCAGCTCTCACAAGAAGTGCGCTTAAGGATGCTAGGACATGTTTGCATAGACGTGGTGATTGAATATCAAACAGTAGCTTCTCATAGATATGAAGGCCTAGAAGTCCAAGACCAAGAATCTAGTGTCTATGAGGGCTCTCGTCCTGATTTGCACATACCTGTCATCTTGCTGTGTCCTGATGTGCTAAAGAGCAAAGAATGGAAGCAAACTCTCTTCTGTCTCTTTTCATAAGGGCATGAATCTCATTGTAAATATTTCAGCTTCATGACATAATTACCTCTTACAAGTCCTGCTTCCTAATACTTTCTTATTGACTGTTCCAATTTTAATAAATGAATTTTAAGGAGATACATGTGCTTAGTGTATCCATAAGCTCCCACAGTACTCCTTAGAGAAGATATGATGCGTTGAGTAACTCAACAATTACAGACCCCTGTGGTGTCAATGGACCATTGCAACTGCCTGATACTTTTTTCCTTCATGGTTTATTAATGTCCTGGAGAATTTTTGATACAATTCCATGTGTGGTAAGGAGCCCCTGAGAGTTCTCATTTTCAAGATTCCTTCAATCTTTATAGATGGTATTGATATCTGTATCATGGAAATGAAACATCTGCCATCAATACTAAGCTAGAGGATACGATTATATAAAACACAGGAAAATAAGACTGAAAACACATCTAGCAGGTGGTTTGAACACATGAACAAAATGTAGACAACATAGGTCATGCATGGAGTGCACGCCACAAAGGTAAGGACCTTGAGACTTCCAGTTTAAGGAACAAGAGAGAGGGGTTCAAGCCTAACAGTATAGGGAAATCATTAAAAGGGTAAATGGGTCTAGCTTGACTGACTTGATAAAAAAATCTTAAAAGTTCTAGTGGGAATCTTAAATATATGCTCAAGAACTTGGGACAGGAACCAAGGAAAAGAAATCTCATTTAAATCCAGAAAAAATTGAGTGCAGTACTCAGCATAGGCTGAGCAGAAGGAAGAAGTGAGGATAAGGTAGACGGAGACACAGTCTTTTAGGCACAAAAGCCTAGAGCAAAAGCAGTTCCAGGAGGAGGTGGATGAACTGGACCCACAATAAGAGTGGAAATAACCTGTGCTGAAGGACAAGAAGGATAGACGATTAGAATGGAGAAGCCATAACATCCTGGTACAAATTCTTTTAGCCTCCTCTCCCTGTGTCTTTTCATCAACATACATTTATGCCTTTTACAAACCTTTTTTTAGATTCACAAGAGAACTGTTCTCTAAAATTACCAATTTAACAATTTTTTGCAGGCAAGAGCTTTGGTCTTAAAATGTCTAAGGAGAATTTCCTGTAATCTTTTCTCTGTTAAGAGCTGTCTTACACTGGCACAAAATTACTATGATCTCAGTTACTCACATGTGGTATTTTAAGGGTCACATACAAAGAAAGACCATCAGGCATTTGCAGAAGGTGGAATTTTGAAATTATCTTATTGATTTATGAAGAGCAAATAATGATTACAATTTAGATTCATTAATAGCTCTAAGAGTGGGATTAGTTGTGAGTGCCTATTTTTATGTATTTGCTTTTCAATGCTGGACACTGTTTACTTGGGTTAGAATGCCAAAATCATCTAGAAAAACTAAAGAGCCCTGTTAGAAAATGATTAATAATTTTAAAAAGTTAAAAATTCAAGGCCATTTTATCTAAATAGTTGAAGTTCGATGTCCAATATTCAATGAATTGTTATTTGCATAACCCAAAATATTCTATTAAGAAAAATAAAGGTAGGGCCAGGGATTTGGCTCAGTGGTCCTGCCACCTGCCTCGTAAGTGCAAGGTCCTGAGTTTGATCCCCAGTACAAAAAAAAAAAAAAAAAGCTAAAAAAAAAAAAAGGAAAAAAAAAAAAAAAGGAAAAAAAAAAAAAAAGGAAAAAAAAAAAAAAAGGAAAAAAAAAAAAAAAGGAAAAAAAAAAAAAAAGGAAAAAAAAAAAAAAAGGAAAAAAAAAAAAAAAGGAAAAAAAAAAAAAAAGGAAAAAAAAAAAAAAAGGAAAAAAAAAAAAAAAGGAAAAAAAAAAAAAAAGGAAAAAAAAAAAAAAAGGAAAAAAAAAAAAAAAGGAAAAAAAAAAAAAAAGGAAAAAAAAAAAAAAAGAAAAAAAAAAAAAAAAAAAAGCTAAAGAAAAAGAAAGGTAATTATTCCACCTGGAATGTGAACCACATCTTTTCTACCTCCTTTTACAAATGTGTATCTATAGTGTAATATAATGTGTTGTCACACAGGTTGCTGTTGCTCTACTTTCCATTTCTGCTCTCTGTCCTCCTAAAAAAATTAAATGAATGCCATTCTTTTACTTCATGCTCTTTGCTTTTTCCTGACAATTTTTGTCTTTCATAGTTAAAGCAACCTTGAAGAAGGCATAAGTTCTTTGGGCCTTAATTTTCAATATAAAAATGCTGGACTAATGTTACTTAATCTAGTCTTGTGACAAAGTTTTATAATGCTAAAGTATGAGTTTTTTTAAGACAAATAATATTCTAGAGAAATTCGGAGAACTAAAAATTTCATTTGAGAGCACTTTTTTTATTTTACAAAGAAGGAATTATTGTTTAGGTCATACTGTATGTTTGAATATTATAGTTAATCCTCATTCATTAATGACTTCCCTACCCATAGCATTAATACAAACTACTTGGAAATTAGAACTCATTACCTAAGATTTTCATGACAGTCCTAGTTCTGAAGGCATATATAGAAAGATGTCACTCTATCAATATACTTTTGTTCAGTATAACTAATATTCATATACACAGTAACTGGTCCATTGAAATTTCAGTTTAAAAAATGTGGGTTTTTATTATGAACATTATGAAAAAGGTGGGTGCCAACTATTTCCACTTATATATTCAGTTTACTGGATAGAATAGGTGACCAAAACTATTAAACTATCCAGCATGTATATTGCATATATCACGTGTTGTGCAATGGCCAAACTTTATAGAAATCAACTCATTCACTCCTCACGACTTGCTGAAATGTCTATATTAAATGACCTGCAGCTTGAAAGAGGCAAGCAATGCTGTCCTCAAATTGTGTCAAAAAGTAGGCTTGCAAATCTAAGTTGTGGGGTCTATATTTTTTGGCTTTGAATGATGCTTTTTTGGACTTCTTCATGGTCTTGTTCCTCTAATCATCTGCCAAGTTTGCTTGTGTCTTCTTTACTTGACTCACAAACTGTAGCTCCTTGCAGCAATGAAAGAGCCAGGTGAAGTTGCACAGAAAAATAAACTTTCCTCTCAGTGCCGGGAAGGAACAAAGAGTTTCAGGAAGGATTTGGTTCAGTTCAGACCCATCACTATGGCTGAGGTAAATGTGCTACCATGAGAGGCTAGGTTTAAGTCTGACTCCCAGCGATCAATCCCATGAAAGGCACTGCGAGACAGTTTTACAGTTTGTCAAATATATTGTAAATATAGCAATGTTTGAGTTAGAATCTGGATCGAGGAAAAATGGGAATTAAGGCCTCTTAGAAACAAATTTAGCACAATTCCCTGGAACTATTGTCTTGATAAGTATGATTTAAATACATACTTTGAAAACTAAAGAAAAAAAAAAAGCTAACCAGGAACCTCGGATTTTTACTTAACTGAGGTGACACAAGCTCTTTGGGTCTGTTTCCAGTAGTTTTTATGGCTTCCCAAAAACATCTTAGTTGGATTTTATAACCTTGAAAATTATTAAATGAGAGATAAGAGGTTTTTAATGTCTCATGACAGTTTTCAACTTTTGTTTTGAGAAAAGAATCTAATCGTTACACTTTCTCCTAGTCATTCTCAATATCAAAGTAATGTTTCCTTGAATGGCACATGATAAAGAGAGAATGACAATGTTCAGTCTATATATATTTTATTTACGTAATCTTTAAACTACTGAATTATGTTTGCCTAAGAATAGAGTACCTTTGATTTCTATTTTATTTATCAAACTCAGGACCTTGTGCTTGCGAGGCAGGCAGCAGAACCACTGAGCTAAGTCCCCGGCCCTTCGAGTACCCTTTAAATGAAAACAGTGTAGGCAAAGAAACTAGAGCTAAAATTAATAGATTTTCTTTTCTTTTCTGCAAGATTACAGATAGTGGAAGACTCAGGGATCAGCAATGTCTATTTATACAGCCTGATGTATGTGAACACACATACTTGTTACAAAAGCATTCAAAAATAATAAATCCTGCATAATAAATAAGGCAGTGGTTTTAAAAATATAGTTTCTCAGACCAACACCATCAACATTATCTAGAAAATTAAAAATACTAATTATGTGGGCAGCCCATTCCTACTGAGTCAGAAACTAAGGAGGCAGGGCTCAGTCGTCTCTGTATCGACAAGCTCTCCTCCTGGAGCTGAGCATGCGAACACCAAGAACCACTGGGGTAGGGATTTCTGTCTCTTTTTCAGGGCCTCCTGACCTGGCCAAGTGATGAAGCGACTACAGTTTATCAGACAGATAATTGGTATTTATCAGATATTTATGTCAATGATTAACATTAATTCCATATCATATGTTTCCAAACATAGAATATATCTCTAGATCTTCAACAGTGGTAAAAATAAAAAATGAAAAACACTAACAAAAGCAAATATTTCAACAAATCGAGTATTTCCTGACTTAGCCATTTTCAGTTTACCCGTGACATTCTTTTTTTTTAAATTAAATAAATTTTTATTTAAGGATTTTCATGCGTGATTCCTTGTCTTCAAGATAGCCCTTTTCCAAAGAACTGATGCTTAATCCAGTCATCCTATCTGCCCAAAATTCTTTTATCTCCACTGAATTATGGATCGGATCATGAGAACTTCCAAACTCCTGGGGTCTTATCTTATATCCAAATTCCTTCCAGCAGTTTAACTTTAGGATACTTAGGATAGATGGATATGCCTTGCGGACACTTCATCTAAACATGCACATGAATTCATATTCATTTCCTAAGCTATTCGCAGTAGTGTACATCTCTAGGATGTGCAAAGACCGAAAGTTAGAAAAATTGGGCCTTTCATACTTGCTGTCCTGTAGTGCCTTATCACAGGCCTAAGAAATAGACCTGTGAGCAAACAAAACCACAGTGTTACTCTATGAGGCTTTTCCAATGATGTGAGACCACAAGAAAAGCCCCATTGGGATAGACCTCAAGTATCTGTGACATTCTAATTTGACATGGATGCTGGGTTTCTGTGTTTTGCCTATAGTATAACATGTTTTTCCTATGGTTTAACAGTCTCTTAAGGACTGCTGATCTCTGTTTCAGTGGCTTATTTGTAAATTCAGTGGGATCCTTCTTTAGAATTATTGCTCATTGGATAAGTCTCCCAGAGTCTCTCCTAGTACTCACAAAAAGTAAACATTCAAACATTGAAAGAAGGTATTGAGATCCATTTTTTTAGTGACTATTCTGGGCATTTTTCACAAATGCCCTATGGAGACAATGTTTATTACTTTTTTTTGACAATAACTTTTAACATGTTACTCTCAAATGTTTGATTGACTACCACAGATTAGAAATCTTCCAATAGATAATGGATAATGGTCTGTCAAGATTTTGGAACCGATCAGCTGAACCATCACTCATAAAATATCCCCTACAATCTTTCACCAACATGGTGTATTCTGTTTAGAATCAATATACCTCAAAGCCCAGTGTCTGAGAGACAGGCCTTATTAATATTGGTAAATATAACTCAGTACTAAGAATAGAGATGGTGTCAGCCTGTATTTCAACTGCAGTTGTAAGGAAAAAAACATGTTTACATACATATCTTAGCAGCTCACTAATTCACTTGTAAGCTGTTCAACATTATATATGACTGCTGAAAATGACAAGCATGTGCCTCATGTTTTCACTGGGTCTATATAACTATGTCTTTCAAATTTCAGCTGCTCTGGTTGCTAATAATACTCATTTGAGTATGCTGTTCATTTTTTAACTGGTTTTGCTAAGATGCCATAGTATTTTTATTTCATCCTTCAAATACTGGTACAAAAATTTCTTTCTGTTATATACCTGGTGTTGTGATAATTCTTGTTGATCTAATGGTTCATAAATCCAGTTTTTGAGCATTTAGTTATGTTTGAGGTTTTGACTTTAGACCTGAAGGCACAAACTTGTAATCTCCAGGCTCAGCAGACTGAGGCAAGAGGATTACTAAATTTGAGGCCAGCCTGGGATTCATAGTGAGTTCAAGCCTACCCTGGCCTACATAGTTAGGCCCTGTGTCAAAACAAAACACCAGCAAACAAACAAACAAAAAGCAAGACCTCAGTGGATTCTATGTGAAAATATCTCAGTGGAAAAGCAGAATAACCTAAATTTGGCATGAAGTTGTAGGTAGTTAAAAGTCTGAAACCTGATTATGATGTTCACATTCATATTAAGACTTAGGCAGTCTTCTACTAAGGACGGCTCCCACACAGCTCCCGGGGAGCAGATAACCTTTGCTTTTTGGTAGCTTCTGGTCCTCACTCATATTCATTCTCTAGGATGGGGCTCTGGGCGTTTGGGCTTTCTCATTTCTGTTCTTCCTTTCTCTCCAGGATGCTTTGGACTTTCTAGCCTTATAGCTATTTTACCCATACAAAGATCTCTTTTCTCCTTTTTTTTGTTTCCTTCTGTGGCATTTTGTGACCAATAAGGTGCAACCCAGTTATCCACTCAAATTCGAACCCTAATTGCAGTCGTATATTTTATAATGGTATTACATTTGAAAAGTTCTTATTGTTTAGTGATGTCGTAGCTGTTGCAATATCTTACGTCATTGTACTAACCACATATTTGTAGTGATGACTGTGTAAACCTACTTTGCTACCAATCTTACAAAAATATAGTAACACAACATCTGATATCGATGATGAACATTATATTATTTGTTAACTTACTACACTGAATTTTTAACATTATTGTAGTGTATACTTCCTCTACTTAAAAAAAAGAAGAATATTTTATTGTAAAACTGTAGTGTATTACACTGACAACAGACTCCTGCATACCCTGTTTACCAAGCCATGTCTAGTGACTGAGCTACACTATTTCGGTTTGTGTAAGTATACTTTAAGATGTTTATACAATAACGAAATCCTCTAAGAACACATTTGTCAGAATTTAGCCCTCCTTATTTAAAATTTAGTTTATTGGTATATTTTAGGTATACAGTACAGTTACATTCATCATTGGGATCTTGTACCTTCACATGACAGGTCTAGGTTCTCATTTTTTCCCCTTGTCCCTGCTCTCCCTTCACCCTCTCCTCCCCTCCCTGTCTATAAACACTTCATTTCTATTTTTTCATGTTCTCCTTTTTTCCGCTTTTTACCTCCCCCCTACCCTTCCCACTTTCCATACACCTTTAGCCCTTTTCTTCCTATTTCACAATATCAGTTATCTCATTAGGATCTTATGTACTATTATAGTTTTTCACACCAGAGAAACTATTCGGTATTTACACATGTGTGATTTATTTATTTCACTTAGGAGTATATCCTCAATATGTATCCATTTTCCTATGAATGAATCTCATTTCTCATTCTTTATGGCTGAATAGTATTAGCCCCTCTCTTAAGTGACAGGATTTTTGCCTTGTTAGCTGCAGAACTGCCTACTTCACTTCCACTAGGGGGCAGTGAGAGCTCAACTTCCTGAAGACAATTATTTAGGATAATTAAGAACAGTCATGGGCATTTGAGGCAGCTTTATTTAGATGTCTTATTCTAAAGAGTGTTCCTGAAAAGGTATGAGGATTTTAGGGAATAGGAGATGATGTGATAATTTCATCTCAATTTAGAGAGATAATTCATCCCAAAGATATAATCAGCAAGCTTTTTTACTTACAATGTCCAGTCTATGAAAGCCATCCATGGCTTGAGCATGCTACCTAATAGTTCTGAGTACATTCCATGGAAACTTCAGCCAGAATGTTATTTAGTAACTGGCAGGGACACCTCCCTCAACTACAATGATTTCAACAAAGGAAGTTTGTGACAGTGCTGGCTGCCTAAGCTATGATGTAACAAAGAGGCCTTCATGGAAGGTGGCCAGGCAACTATGACCTCGGTGGTCCGACTTAAAGAGGAGACTCAAAACCGCCAGATTCCTGCTCCTGTAAACTAAGATTTTGAATAGCAAGCACGCTGAAGATCTTCTATTTACCCTCGAGAGTTTAATGTGAAAAGTTATTGCTTAGAGAAAAGCCCAAAGAAGCTCTTAGAGATATGAAAAGAAGTTGCAACCAGAGACATCGGAGGTAGGTGATTCCAATGGCAGCCTTCAAGGTTTTCCACTGACAGTACATATGTGTCTTTAAATAACAGGATATATATTCTCAGACACCTTTCATTCAAATAACTCAACAGTTTAGAAATACACAAGAAAGTTATCTAGTCCTTCTTGTCTCATTTTCTACCAGGTCTCTCTTTCTCAGTATATTGAACTGTTTTGTTTTTCTCATTCTGCCCAATGTTATCCCTTCGTAATTCGAATTAATGTCTTTCACAGACTCCTCCTTTTCTGCCAGTGGCGGCACCCTTTCCCAGGGCTCTGCTGATGGCTCCGGACTACTGTCCTCTCATCAGAAATTAAAAAGACTATTTACACCACAACAATTAGACCTGTGTGGATTATTTCAAAGTCACCTCTGAAATGATTGTCTAATAGGGGACATCGTGGATCCTTTTCCCTTTTGCCTATGGCTCCTTTATGGTCTCCTCTTTAGGGCTGGTGTATGTCAAGGAATCCAGCAGCATTTTCATTCTTTTTTTTTTTTTTTAATTGAGTTTATTGGTACATTTAGGGATACAGTACAGTTACATTCATTGTTGGGATCATGTACCTTTACATGGCAAGTCTTGATTCTCATTTTTTTCCCCTTACCTCTGCCCTCCCTTCACCCCCTCCTCCCCTCCCCATCTACAAACACTTTATTTTCATCTTTTCATTCTCTCACATTTTTTTCTTTTCCCTTTTTGTTCTTCCCCTACGTATCACACCTTCCCTACATCTTTAGCTCCTTTCCTCCCATTTCTAAATGTCAGTAATCTTATTAGAATCTTATGCATTGTTGCAGAATATTCACACCAGGGAAACTATT